GATGAGCTGTATGAGCTTTACAAAGACATGGATATAATGCAGCGAATTAAAATACAGCGGCTCCGCTGGCATGGCCATGTCGTTCGAATGGACACCAACGCTCCAGCTCTGAAAGTATTAAGGTCGGAACCCGCTGGTGGTAGCAGAGGAAGATGGAGGCCCCCACTGCGATGGAAAGATCAGGTGGAGAAGGATTTTGCTTCACTTGGCGTTTCGAAATGGCGTCAGTTGACACAGAAGAGAAACGGCTGGCGTGCATTGCTGAACTCGGCCAAAATCGCTTAGGCGGTTACAGCGCCAAATAAGAAGAAGAAAAATGCAAATTGTTGATGCTTGTTTTTACACTTTAAGCGTAGATGTTTATGCGCCAAACCGAAAGAGTAAATTTCTGATTCAACTGCTACCTTCAGTTCTCGGTTTACTTATTTTGATAGAAGAAATTCATGCCTACCGTAGCATTGAAATCGCCTTGTATGAGTTTGATATCCTAACGGGACGTCTCTTATCAGTGTGCTCCAAGTACTGATAGAAGAGATCTTTGGGATTACATACCTATTTTCTTTTCCATAGGGGCGTGGACGAAAATGAGCAAGATGTTGAAGAGTCTCGCTTTGACGCTCATCCACTGACGTGAGCGAAAGTGCTCGACGAAGTCTCTTTCTAAGCAGAAAGCGAACACAGAATTAGAGCATTTTACATGGCAGCTATATTAGACGTCGCAAGGTCCTGCGTTTCACTTTTGTAAACGAGGTCGTCATCCATTAGATAATTAGATATATGTTTGTATAATAAACTAATTTGCGTTTTATTTCCGATGTACATGTGATTTGACTGCGCTAGACATTACTTCTTAAGAGTTTTTTACAGTCCATCGCCTAATTTTGCTGCCTTTTCTTTCATGAGGCGATTTCTTAGAGGCTCGTATATAAGGCCAGCTGCACTGAACAATTGTTCACTTGGAACGCTGGCGGGTGGAGCGCTCAGATATGTATTTGCGGGCCAGATGTGTCAATTTGTCGTATCTAAGTTTAGTTTTCCACCAATCGAGAGGATTTTCACCGAAAAAAGCTCGTTTTTCTTTAAGATAGACCTTCAATTGAGCTTTATTTTCACATTTTTTTATGCCCCCAGATTCTACATCCGAGCCCTCGCTTTCGCTGGAGGATTCAATTATTTCTAGGTTGCTTATAAGACTTTTAGCAGTACTTGTTGAAGACCTATCAATTTGCTTGATATACTACTTAACCGTTTAGCGCGTGAAGCTAAAAGCCGGTTATTATCCGCACCCTGGTTAGACAGACAGAGCCATTTCAACAATATTAGAGTGGACTCTCTGCCCATGTACACATTCGCATTCGCAAAACATTCGTATCATTTGATGCAAATGCGAATGTGTAAAATAATGCCAATCATTCGCATAACGAATGGGAGTGCAAATATTCGCCACATCCCTATTTCCCACTATATTATATATATATTTATGTAAATTTTCTTTATTAAAAATAAAAATTTAAAATTTTTATAGTTGAACTAAGTATACTGTTTCCCATATTTTGGACGCCTTTCAGTTCTCCTTATTTACAGCAAAGATTATCTTGCCGTATCATAATTACCAAGAATTACACAAACATAAATGTACTTGTATATCTCTTGTGTCGAATAATCTACTTAAGCAAATATTTTTCAATTGTTTTACTAATAAAGTAAATTTCACCTTTATGTACATACGTATGTTTTTATAATGATCTATTGATTTGCTTGACCTTTTTTTGTCGGTCCAAACAGGAATCTCGATTT